ATTTATATATATATATATATATATATATATATATATATATATATATATATCCAGGGCTCTGGAAATTAATCTACCTACGGTGTTTGCTGCCACATAATTTAGTGTTGTCAAGATACAGAATCAACTCCCTGTCTGTCAACCGATGAATGGTTGAAGAAAGTGTTTTATATCATGAAACGAAAGACTATTTGTCCACAAAAGATAAGGAATTTCTGTCACTTGTGAAAAAGGCATAAACTTGGAGACATTTTGGCACCTGAAGCAAGATCACCACAGAAAGATAAATACAACAGACTTTCACTTAAATGTGGGATCTAAAAAATACTTGGATTGTAGAAGCAGAGAATAAATTGTAGTTAACAAATGACGTAGAATGGGGAGATGTGGAAAAGTTACAAAGGTTTAGTTAAGAACAATAAATTATAGGCATTTAAGTAGACATATGTTAATTAGCTTAACTCCATCATTCTATATTGTATAAATATACCATAGCATCACTTTGTACTCATTAAGTAGATGCAATTTAATATGTTCGTGCTAACTTATATAAAAAGTGTGATATGCATTTACACAGATTAAATAAATCTTTATTCCAGACTAGAAACTGTAGAGTTGAGCAAGATAATTATTCATGATGATTTATAGAAGCTGTAATAGGAAAATCTGAGCTAGATCTCCATTCACACCATTGGCCAGGAGCTGCAGTGACTGGCAGGAAGTCCAAGGTGGATTCCTGCTCACTCCACTGAAGTAACTAGTGGAAAGGTGAAAGTTGCTGACACAGCAGGACACCACCTAGAGCACACATGATGGACAGGTGGGACTAACAGCGCTGAAAAGTCCAAGGTAACAGTGACAGTATCAGGCATCAGGCCGTTAGTAAGGTGAACCAGCTTTGTCCCTGGGAACAAAGAGATGTGGAATAGAAGTGAGAGGGTGGCACTATCTTCTTTTCTTTCTTTTGTTTTTCTTTTTTTTCTCTTAAAAAAAACACACAGGAGAGAACTACAGCCACAGAAAACTAATTCAATCCCCCAAACCCAGTAACAAAGATCAGATCCACAACTAATACAAATCCATCTGCAATCTTAGCTAGAGAATACATTCTGGTATCAGAGTTAGAGCTACCACAGAGCTCTAGATATTAGAAGAATCTGGTTATTTCACTTTTCTCTGCTTGGTCAGGGTTCATCATTTTGTTATTTTATTTTTTTGTGGCTGTTTGTTTTTGTTAGTACTTTTTCTCTTTTCTTTTCTCCTTTTCTTGTTTTTTTATGTGTTTGGTACAGCCTCTCACTACGCAGCTTGGACTGATAGTGGTCCTCCACTATAAGTTTTTAGCCTCCCCAGCTCTGGAGTTACAGGTATTCTCCACCACATACAGTCTGTTGTCCATCTCAGTGAGCCTATGGGCAGGGCTGGCATGGTAGGTTGTACCGGGCACTGAACACTGGTGCATGCACTTGCCTACACAGGTACTTAATCTGCTCAGCTATCTCACCAGCCCTTCCCTTTGTAATATTCAATTTGTCCTCTTTCTCTCTTTCACATCACACAGAATTTATGAGATGTTCATTAGGGAAAATATTGTCTCTTCTTTTTCTAGTTCACTTTTTCTTCTCCTTTTTATTTTTAATTTTTTATTTATTTTAAATAGAGCATAATGACAACTGATAAGACACTAGAAAATATACACATTTAGAAGAACAAAGTGAGAGATACTCAAACTTGGGTTTTGAATTGTACATTGCAGACTTTGATATAGTTGGTCAGAATATCAAAACTAGCACATGGAGTTAGAGTGAAAATTTTATACATTAATTGCTGTTTTCAAAAAACTTATGAGTGGTGACCAGATACTCAGAGGACTAAAGCATCTCCTTCGGCAGAATACAGTGGCCAGGGTTCAATCTCTGGCATGCCATACTGGCCCCACCCCCAGGGCATGCTGAGATGGCAATTGAGCCGGGGAGTGGTGGTATGTGCCTGTAATGCTAGCTTTTAGGAGCCTGAAAAAAAGGAGAATCACTAAGAGTCCAGTCTATGTAGTGAGACCCTGTGCATCCTATAGACCCTGCCCTAAACTCATAAAAATCTTATGATAATTAGTACTATAATCATTTCAGCTATCTTGTGTATATACTTCCATGGTTTTTCCCCCTTTCTTTTCTTCTTAACTTTTCTCCTTTCCCTCATCTCCATTGTTTATTCTTTATGTTCAGTTTCTTCGTATTTTACTATATTTATTGTATCTTTCTGATTTTATCTATACTTTTAGGTTATTACATTAGGGAGACAATATGATATTTACATGTGTGCGTTTGATTTCTTTTACTTATGAGTATAACTTCTAGCTGCACCTATTTACCTATAAAGGCCTCAAGTTTGTCTTTCTTTATAGATGAGTAATACACAATTGTCTAAAAATACCACATCTTTTTATACATTCTTTAGGTGATGGGCATTTTGGTTGTTTCCAAGATTTGGATATGACAAATTGTGCTGCTCTAAGCAAGGTTGCACAGGTGTTGTGATTATTTCAGTTTTTGGGGTCAAATATCCAGAAGGGGAATTGTTGGGTTGAATGGGATTTCTAATTCTAGCTTTTGAGGCGTCTCCACATTGATTTCCATAGAAGTTGTATCAGTGTACACTCCCAACAACAGTGGAGAAATAATAACAGAAAACTTCACAAACGTGGGAAAACAACCTGACATTCAGATAACTGAGGCATGTAGAACTCCAAATAACAACAACACAAATAAATATACACCCAGATATATAATGATGAGGATCTTAGATTTTCAGCACAAAAACAAAATATTAAAAGTTGCCTGAAATATGAAACTTCACATGTAAAGGAAACCCATCAAAATAACAACAAATTTCTCAACAAAAGTCATTAACTCAAGAAGGGCATTGAGTGAAGTATTTCAAGTCCCACAAGAAAATAAATTTCAACTCAGACTGATATACCTTGCAAAATTCTCTTTCAAAATTAATGGAGGGGCCGGGGAGATGGCTCAGTGGAATAAGCGCCTCCCTGGAAAGCACAAGGGCCTGAGGTCAATCCCCAGTTCTGCCAAAAATAAATAAATAAATAAATAAATAAATATAAAATAAAATAAAATTAATGGAGAAGAAAAATGCCACCATGACACAAAAAAAAGCTAAAAAAATTCATGAGGGCGAAACAAAGCCTACATACAGTATTAAAAGATGTTATAGAAAGGGATCAAAATGACCACAGCTCCAAGCACAATGACAGAAAGAATGAAACGGGGAAAACATTTAAAAACAGGAAAAGTATGGAACCAACAGCAGGAGAATAACATAAAAGACATATGCCAATACACATCATTTAAAAACACTAATGTAAATGGCCTCAATTCTAGCTAACTTTAATAGCTTTTCTCTTCCAATCCTTCCCTCTTTTATTCTACAATAATTGAAAACTTGGATGATCAACCAATGTCCAACAAATTTGCCCCTACTACGTTTAATCTCAACCACCTCTATATCCTACTGTTAACCCTTCTTAAACACATCCACGACAGGGTAAAATCATGCTGCTAAGTGCAAAATCATTGCATGCCAGTTCCTGGTATAAGTTGAATTACACTATATAACTATAGAACCTGCTCCTATAGCTAAAGATGTCAGGATAGTGGTCACCACACTTTGTCCTTAGCCAGGTCACTCTTGAATCAACTATTATTACTAGCTGTACTATTTTAAGCAGAATGCCATACCTGTTACAATCAAGTTTTTTTTTTCTCTGTATTACAATAGAGACTGCAGGGACTCATAACTATCAACATAGTACAGTACAAAAAGAATAGACAAGTGAAATAAATAACAACTCAGTATTTTTTAATTATATATTTGGTACAGGGACTCATAGTGCTCCTCCTCTTTTCAGCCTTCCCAGTTCTGGGGTTAAAGGTATGCGTCACCATGCCTGTACTCAGTTGCCAACTCAGTATACCTGGAGGTAGGGTGAGGGCAGCATGTGGCATCAGGGATTGAATGAACCCTTGTCCCTGCGCTCACCTAAGTAGGTGCTTAGACTGTTGAGCTATCTTCCCAGTGCTATTTGACATTCTTAATACATTGAGAAGGTAGGTTCTTGGGATAGAAAAGACCAAGTACCACCTATATCTTGAAGACATCCCCGAGGAATAGACATCAACCAGGAAAGGCTTGACACCAGGGAAAAAGCTTTGTAACTTAAGAAACCTATGAGTGTAAACAAAGAAAGAAAAGAAAAGAGAAAAAAATTATGAGGAAAGACACAAAATACAACTTCAAATACTCAGAGCACCCAGAACAATTCCCGAGCACAAAGGAACAAAGGAAGTTAGAAGCCAACTACTATAACTCTATGAGATGATAGCAGCAGAACTGAAAAAAAAAAAAATGAAGAGGGCATAAAAATACCTAAGGTACACAGGGCAATGAAAGCAACTGAAGTAGACACAGTTTTAAAAAAAATAAGTATGTGAAAAGATGGCAATCATGAATACCCAACATAGAGCAGAAATGAATTCAATGAAATAGATCCACATTCAGGAGAATAAGAACTCCAAAAAAATTGTATGCCAAAAACTGATTGAAGTTGAAGGTAGAATATCATTCCTAGAGGCTGGAAAGATAGATTAGTAGAATAAGTGCAATGCAGGGTGCTGAGTTCAATCCCTGGTACTGAAAAAAAAAAAATCAGTCCTAGAAGAAAGTAATGTGACTATAAAGGAAACATATCCTTAAAATAGCAAGCACCTATGAAAAACTAATGCAACAGTTACAAGATAAAGTAAAGAAGAACAACATGAGATTGATTTTGGGATCAATCAACATATTAGCAAAAAAAAAAAAACCTACAAAAATCTCTTCACAAAAATAATGGCAGAAAACTTCCCAAACATAGAGATGGTTGAGAAAATTGTACTACTAAATACTAAGAATTCACTGAGTGGAACAGTCAGTGCTTACATTGTCTGATCAATTTTGCTTGCCTAAAATTTTTACTTTGGCAAACTCAATATGATAAAAGCTGTTTGTTTGTTTATTTATTTATTTTCTATTTTAGGGAAGGGTCTTCAGGGTGTTCAGGGTCTCACTACTAGATCGCACTCACAGTGATCCACCTGTTTACAGCCCCCCAAGAGCTGGGATTGCAGACTTGTGCTACCACGCCCAGTCTCAATTGCTGTCTCAGCATGCCCCAGGAATGGGGCTACGAGAGAACCAGGGATTAAACCCCGGACCTCTGTGCCTACTTGCAGGCACTTCAATCCACTGTGCTATTTGGCCAGCCCCATATGCTATTATATGTAAGATGAACAAATTTGTTTAGGACAGGAATGTGCAATATGACAACCATGGTTGAATACCTTTCATCTTTTTCTTTAAAGTATGTATTGTCTCCTGCTTAGGCAGATGCAGGGTCTGGGAGTTCAATCCCCAGACCTGCTGTGGCGTCCCTGCCCTCAGGGTGTGCTGAGAGCGTGGGAGACTGGACCTGGTGGCTGGTGGCTGGTGGCTGGTGGCACACACCTGTATTCCCAGTACTTGGGAGGTTATAAACAGTAGGATCACCAGAAATCTGAACCTCACAAGACCCTGTAGACCCTATGGACCCTGTTTTAAAATACAAAAAAATAAATAAATAAATAGTGTATTGTCTATAATATATTATCTATTATCTTTAAAATAAATACTCTCTGTAAAATAAATTATAAAAATAAAATTCAAAAGACAAGGGAAAAATTAAGGTTTTTGAAAAGAAGTGTTAGTGTTTAGTTGCTTGATCAATCTTGCATACCTATATCTGGTAATCTGGGTAAAAAAAATTGATGATAGTAGTATGTAATACAACAGCTTTCATTAAATTTCTATTCTTGTTTTGAAGTTCTGTATCATTTTCATTGTTCTATGTTGCTTTGCTTTTGTTTTCGTTCTTGCTTTTGCTTTTTCCCTCTTTAAAATGAGAAATATTGCATGTGTATCTGGTAGTCTGGGCAACAAATTTGAAGATAACAATGTGTGATATAATGTCAATTATTAATGTCCTATCACCTTGTTTTGAAATTCTGAATCATCTTGATTGTTTTTATTATGTTTAAAATAAAATAAAGGGCCACAGAGATGGCTCAGTGGAATAAGTACTTCCCTGGCAAATGAAAGAGCCTGAGTTCAATCCCTGATTCTGCCAAAAAATAAAAAAATAAAATAAAAACAATTTCATACAAGCCAATTAGTTAGCTCAGCAGACTAAATGTCTGCTTAGACACGCACAGGGACCAGGGTTCATTCCCTGGCACAATATGCCATGCCAGCCCCACCATACATCATTCTGACACATAGAGCCAGCCCCTGAGACTGTGTGTGGTGGTGCACACCTGTTATTCCAGGGCTGGCGAGGCTGAAAACAGGAGAACACTGTGATTCTGAGCTGCATAGAGAGACCCTGAACCAAATACATAAAAGAGAACAATTTATACAGAAATAAGTGAAGCTTATAGAACTCCACATAACCAAGAAAAAAATAAATCTATGTTCATCAATATAATAAATAATATTCCAGAAATTCAACAGAAGAATGAAATACTAAATGCAGCTAGATTAAAAAAATCATGCATAAAGGAAAGTCTATCAGAATCACCACAGACTTCTCAACACAGTTACTCAAATCAAGGAGAGCCTAGAGTGAAGTATTTGAAGTTGTCACAGCAAACAATCTTCAACCCAGATTTATATATCCCACAAAAATATCTTCCAAATTCAATGAAAAAATAAGATATTTTCATAACATAGAACAATTGAAGAAACTCGTGAGCACCAAAGAAGCTCTATAGAATTTTCTGAAGTATATAGTAGAAAAAGGTAATGAAGACTATAAGTACTTAAACACTATTAGAACGAAACCACCAATTAGCGCAAGCAAATAACAGAGAAAAATACAGGGAACTAAGGACAGGAAAATAACATAAAAAAGATAAGGCAATGCATGTCAGTTATAACCACTAGGGTAAATGATCCCAATTCACCAATCTAAATGAACAGACTGGCAGAATAAATCTAAAAACAAGACCCAACAACTTGCTGCATTTAATAAACACATTTAACATAAGAAAGCAATTCATAGATTGAAATTCAAATGATGAAAAACAATTCCTGTGTGACAGGAAACATAAGAGGTAGCTACCCATTGCAGACAGTGTAAATTTTAAGCTGAAAATAATCAAAGGATACAAGGAATGTCAGTACATACTTGTTAAGGGATATCTATAAGGCAAGATAACAATCATAAATATACATTCACCTAACACTAGTGTCCTTAACTACACAAAACAAATATTAGCAGACATGAAATAACCAAATACACACCAATAGAACTATAGTGGGAACTTTCATATCTGACTTACAAATAGATAAACTAGACAAAAAATCAACAACAACAAAAATTCAGATTATTAAAATGAATAAAAATTTAAATAGGAAAAGAAACTAACAAATAATTCAGAATTAAACCAAACCCAGGTTTACACAGTGCTCCACCCTAAGATATGAGAATACATAGTCTTCTCAGTTGCACTTGAGAAATTCTCCAAAATAGACCACATATTAGCACACAAAATATGTTTGAGTAAATGTTGAGGGATTAAAATTATTTTGGGGCACTATCTGATCCTAGCAAAATAAAATTTGAAATGAACAACAGAAATCATGAAACTACATACATGTGGAAGTTGAACAACACACTTCTACAAAGCAGAGTCACAGAGAAAATCAAACACGAAATTTCTCAGCATATAGAATTAAATGATAATGCCAATGCAACATACTGAAACTTACAGGAAACAATGAAAGCAGTCCTAAATTAGAAATTTATAACAATAAACTATTTCTCATCAGGTGAACAGAAGGAGCTTAATAAACAACCTAATGTTGAACCTCGAAATTCTAGAAAAGGAAAAATAAATCAAACCCAAGTCTCATACGAGGGAGGAATTATAAAGATAAGAGCAGAAATTAATAGAATTGAGACTAAAATAAGTGCAAAGAATCAATGAATTGAAAAGGTAGTTCTTTGGGCCAGTGAGACAGATTAGCAGAATAAGTATCTTCATAGGCAAGTTCAGGGACTGGAATTCGATGCCCAGCATCACATGCCATGCCAGCTCCATCCCCGGAAATGATGAGCTGGCCGCTGAGACCCGACATGGTAGTGCATGCCTCTAATCCCAGCGCTGGGGAGGCTGAAAACAAGATGATCAGTATGAGTCTGAGCTGCATAGTGAGACCCTGTACCAAATGTATTAAAAAAAATTTGGTTCTTTGGAAGAATTAATTAAATTTATAAAGCATTTTCCAAATTCCTCTAAAAGAGGAAAGAAAGAACATAAATTGAACCACTTAGGAATGAAAAGGAAGAAATCACAAGAGAGCCTACAGAACTTCTGACGATCATCAATACCCACTAGGTGAAAACCTATTCTAATAAGATGGACATATTCCAAGACACAATCCAATTGCCATAATTAAATCAAGAAAATATGTAAATTATAAAACAAGCACATATCAAGCCATGAAATTGAAAACATAATTAAAAATTTACCAGGGGTCTTGAGTTCAATCTCTGGTACAAAAACAAGCAAGCAAAAAACATGATTGAATTCTAAAATTACATATTTAGAAAACTAATTCTACTAGCTTATTTGCAATCTTTTTGTGAAAATTAAAAGGGAAGCAACACTTCTAAATCATTTATGGAGGCAAGTATTACCATGATTCCAAAATACTGGAAGAACCCAATGAAAAAGAATACTACAGGCCAATATTCCTAGTGAATACAAATGAAAAAAAAAAAATCCTCACTAAGATACTGGCAAACAGAATGCAGCAAATTCTTTAGAAGATTTTATATCAAGACCAAGTTGGATTCATATCAGGAATGCAAGGATGGTTCAACATGTGCAAATTAATATAAACTTCACAGAAGCAAAGATGAATATCACATGATCATCTCAATAGATGCATAAAAAGCATTTGACAAAGTCGAACACTGAATCATGACTAAAACACTACAGAAAAGTTTAATAGATTGTCTTTATCTCAATCTGATAAAAATGGCCTATGAAAAACCAAAAGCTAACATCATAGCAAATGATCAGAAACTAAAAGCTTTCATCCTAAAGTCAGGAACAAGACTAGAATGTTCATCATCACCTTTTCTATCCAGTAGAGTGCTGAAAATATTAGTCCAAGCAATTAGACAAGAGAGAGAGAGAAATAATGATAGAACAAGCAGTTAAATTATCATTATTTGTAGATGACATGATACTCTACAAAGATGATCTCAAAAGCTAAATTAAAAGACTTATACATTTAATAATCAAATTCAATTGTGTAGCTGAATCTATGCTAAAAATTCAATAGCATTTCTGTACACAAACAGCAAAGTCACACAGAGAGAAGTTAGAGAAACCATGACCTTTATAATAACGTCTAATAAAAAGGAAATACTTAGCAATCAGACTAACAAAGGAAGTGAGAAATCTGTACATTGAAAATTGCAGTACTCTGAAAAAGTAGAACAAAGTAGGTATCAGAAAATGTGAAGATATCCCTTGTTCATGGATAGTTATAACTTACATATCGAAAATTCCCTTACACCCAAAATTGTTATACAGATTTAATGCAATCCCCATCAAAATACCACTGCCATACCTCACAGAACTAGAGAAAATATTCCCAAAATTCATTTGGATTTTGACCCTGAAGAGACATAGAATAACAAAAACAGTTCTAGTCAACAGAAGTAAGTCAGAAAGCATCAGAATCCTTGACCTGAAATTTTACTACAAAGCTACTATAAAAAAAGCATAATATTAGCAAATAAACAATCAAACAAATGAATGCTTAAGCAAGACTTGAGGATCAGTGGAATAGAAAATTCAAATACAACCACTAACATACAAAACTACCTTATCTTGACAAAGGAGTCAAATGTGTTCACTGGATAAAAGATAGACTCTTCAATAAAACACTGGAAAAATTGACTTTCCATATTCTGAGGAGTAAAACTAGACCCATGCACTAAACCAAATTCAAAATGGATTGAAGATGTAAATATTGAAATAAAATATTAAATCCAGTGGAAGAAGGAATAAGAAGAAATCTTGAAGACACTGGTATAGGTACTTAACAAACAAAACACAGACTGTACAGGAAACACAAGAGAGAATCAACAATCTTATCTTATTAAAAATCTTTCACATAAAAAATAAATCACCAAGAAAGTTTAAAGACAATAAAGATTGTAGGAAAAAATTCAGTTGGTTTTCCCTCAGACAAATGACTTATATCTGGAACAGAGAAAGAAATGAAGAAAAAAAAAATGGCCCTCAAAATTCAAATACTGAGTTCAAAAATGGACATCTGACATAAATAAGAATTTCTCAGGTGAAATACAAACAGCAAATAAGTACATGAAAAAATGTTCAAGGCACATTAATTTTGGTAATAAGGTACAAAGTAAAATACGATATTTCATTTCACTTGATGATAGCAATAATAGCTCTCATAAAAAAAAAAAAAACTAATAAAGGCTTGAGGCCAGAGAGATGGCTCAGTGGAATGAGTGCTTCCCTGGCAACTGCAAGGGCCTGAGTTCAATCTCCAGTTCCACAAAAAATAAACAAACAAATAAACAAATAAAGGCTAGTGAGACTGTGGGGGTGAAAGTAACCCTTCTTCTCTGCTGGTGGGAGTGTAGACTGCTACAATTCCTTTATAATCAATATGGAGATTTCCTAGGAAGCTAGAGTTACAGGTCCCATTCAACCCAGCTGTTCCCCTTCTAGGTATCTTTCTAGAGGAATTAAAAATATCATACCATGGAGAGACACATGCACTCTTCTTTATAACAGCACAGTTTGTTGTAAGTAAATCTTGGAAATAACTGAAATGCCTGTCAACTACGGAATGGATAAAAAGAAAGATGTGGTCTTTTTATATAATGGAGTACTATTCAGCCATAAGAAAGATAGACTTGTAACTATTTATTTGCTTGACAAATACATGTTAATAACACACACACACACACACACACACACACACACAGAGAAAGAGAGAGAAATACACCATATGTTATAAGTAGATGCTTAAGCAAGTATATTTCATGAATCTGAGTGAGAGGTGGGCAATATTCTAAGAGCAGATAGCACCACAGCTAGTAGTTGAACTCAATTTAGAATTGTAAAGATCCTAGAGTGCTTCTATTCCATCTAAATTTGCTTGATAACTGGGGATACTTTAGACATTAAAGCCTATATATTTCTATTATATATATATATATATATATAATATATGAAGTTTATATATATATGAAGTTTGGATAATGTTACATGATATATTGCAAAATAGAGATCTATTCTTTTTTTGCACTACAGGGGATTGAACTGAGGACTTTGTGCTTGCCAGGCAAGCACTTATTCTACTGAGCTACCTTCCCAGCCCCTGTGGCTTTATTATTGCATTACAACAATGATCTATGCTGAAATTTACAAGCAACTCTTCCTGTTCCTGGGGATGCAAGCCTGGAATAAAGTTTCAGAGCTTGTGTGATGCCTTTCTTTTTCCCAGTTATACATCCATAAATGTTCTATTCAGCACTAAATAGAAATGCCCAAAGCCCTTCCTTTACAACCTTCCACAGGGACCTAGAGTCACGATGAGAAACATTGATGAAGCCCAGTTATCATCTGGTAATATTGTCATTAACACTTCTTATCACATAATTAGATTGGACATTGGCCATCCCAGAGAAAATTTTTTTTTAAAAAAGAAAGCAATATACAACTGAAAGAAAAATATGAGCATAGATCACTGTATTTTGTGCATGGATCATGATACAGTCCACAGAGCTGAAGACATTTTGTCATCCTGTGCATAAGCAGTTTTGAACATCAATAATCAAATATCTGTCTCCTTCTACCTACCAGATTAGTTACTTGTTAAATATTCTATCTTCTCAAACTGGAGCAGTTATCATAACACTGACATTTTTGGTGATGGAAGACAGTCACATTAGCCATGAGTAATGGTGAGGAGGAATCATTGCTCTCTGAACTTTATAGGTCATGATATCTCTGTAGCTTGTGAGCATAGCTGAATTCTGAAATAGATAACTGTGTCTCCCTTAGCGTCTTCTTTTTTCCTATTTTTTTCCTGTGTGTGAGTTTGCAAAGGTCAGATGCCAGTATGATCTAGAATAAGAGCTTTTGTGGCTGGATTTGAAAGGTTATTTTAGAGAAAATCTCATGAAGACTCACTATCCCAGCATGCTGCATGAAACATGGCTAACATCTTAGTTCATGATGGAGCTGATGCGTGGGGACTAGACAGCACTGGATGTTAAGTGTGCAGAATTCTACCATCATTTATTAAGCAAAGGAAGAGGAAGTGTCTCACAGATATGCTGATGTATGTGGATCCATGTCCACTGGACTTCAAATAATAAGGGGAACAATTTTACCAGTAGAGTGAATACTGAAATACCCTCTTCATAATATCATAGGAGAATGAGTAGGTTAGATTTTTGTAATATAGAATAAGCACAACACTTATTTATCTAGGGACTGTAATTCCATAGTGTGTCTAATCTGAGAAATCTGCAAAGTTGTATTGCTTGTTTGTGATACCATAAAAAAAAAAGCTGACTTTCATTTCCAGGAAATACTTAAAGCTCAGAGTCTTGCCAGAAGTAAGATAATCTTTGTTGTATAATTTTCATTAATGCCATTGACATCTGAAGTGTGTGAGCAGTTGGTGAACATTGTAAATATCTCTTTTTTTCTTTTTTCAAATCAACTTTATTGAGACAGAAATATTAATGATACAGTTTCAAAACAGGTTAGTAGGACAGTTACAATAATTAATACATTGCATATTGTTGTCTTCGTAGTAGGTATTCATAGTACAAGATGCAGACATGATGTCTTGTCTAAACACTATTAGTGCAGACCTTTATTCTCATTCAACTAAGAGAAAATAGCTGTATATCTCTCCTATTTTGTACATATATATATGGGGGTTTTTTTCACTACAAAGGCTCAAGTCAACAACTTCTGACATTGCCAGTTCTGTAGATAACCCACTACTGTTATGGACTGCTGGACTATATTGGATTATTTTTCTGAATTCATGCACCTATAATATTTGAATGGCAATAGAATACCCATCTCTTACAAAACTAAACAAAAAAGGGGGCTATAAATGAAGGACAATTTTGTAGTAAATGTCTCTTTGAATTAACTCCATATATTTTATCTGTGGATCACTCCAAATAACTAGCAACTGAAGAAATATAAACATAAATTTCTTGTTTGAATGTCAAATAATGATATTAAATATATAGATTTAATAAAATAGCATTTTTGGTATAGTCTACAATAGTTCTACTTTACAAAGCTACATATAGTTTAAATTTTCAATTTTAGGGAATTGCTGTACAATTAAGGGTCATAGGACATAGATTTGGAGCTAATATCAGGATATGTACTGAATGAAAGGCACAGTTTTAAAATTAGATAATCTGGACTTGGGAAATAGAGCTCAGTGCTCTAAGCACCAGCCTGGCAAGCATAAGGCACCGGGTTCAATCCTGATACAGCATGCCAAGCCAATCCTGGAACACTGGGCATGCCATGCCTTCCCTGAAACAGGGCATGGTGGTACACACCTGTAGTCCCAGAGCTGGGGAGACGGACACAGGAGGATCACTATGAGTCTGAGCTGTGTAGCAAGACCCTATACCAAATAAATGATAAATAAATAAATTTAAAAGTTCAGATGATCTAAGTTAATAGAGTCAAAGATCAGACCAATGAGGGAGAAAGAAAGAGGGCGTAAGGGAGGAGGGAAGGAGGGAAGGAGGAAAGCAAAAGACGAAAGAGGATTAAATTTTTAGAATTATAGTAAATTAACATACAAACATAGTCATCCACTAAGTTTCTTACAGGATACTGTATACATTAACTTGTTTTATTCTTTTCACATTCTTGTATATTCATTGAGAAAAATCAGGAAAATAAATATAATATAAAAAGAAATACCTTTTATCATAACACTAAATTTTATTTTTAGAAAAATCATTGTGGTAAAAAAAAAAACTTGTCAAAAGATTATTACTGGTTTTCATTTAGGAGTTATGATCCCAGCATTGGAACATCTGTGGATCTTATGTAAATCTACATACTTTAGCATCCCAATTACAATGAACAGGAGACATAAGTGTTTTTTTTTTTATCATTTTCTTTCCTGCTAAATTCTCCTTTGCAAGCCATTTCTTAGCAGGACGGCATGTTATTTGCTTATTTACAATGCATAGGCAACCCTTTACATATCTTTTTCCCACAAAATTGCAACTTATTGTTTTTAAGCACCTGGAGTAAACACACACATCACCTGAGAGTAGCAGATTGTGCAGCTGTGCTATCGATTGATCGCCACACCTGGACACTAGTGACTTCAACATTGCTCATAACGGAGTCTATGCCTGCATAAAATACAAATACATTAGAGAAGACCCTATCACACACCTGACTGCACTACCTAACGCAATTTTCCCAGACTCTTAAGAAATAAGCAAAGTGCAATACAGAATGTGTCCTCCTCAGGTAACAAAACTGAATTATTCTCAAGGTCCAAAGGCCCAGGACAAATATCAGAATCTCCAAAAGTCTTCTTATTTTCCCGGCTGTACAACCACAACCCATCCAGTTTGGAGGCTTTTGTTAACTCTGAGACTTTGGTTTTCCACATATCTCCTCTGCAGAGTTTGCTCCCTGGTGCCTCAATAGCAGGAAGCATTATCAGCTCTCAGATGCAAACTCGTTCATCCCTTTGAAGAGGATCATAGTGCAAATATCCGCTTGTTTCTGTGTCACACACATTTTTCTAAGTAAGGGACACTTCATAACAGGGGAAAGCATCATGGCACTCACGCTTTTAATAATTGCTTGCATATCAGTGAACACAGGCCATGAGCTAACTCGGCAGACTAAGTGCCCGCTTATGCAAGCGCAGGGCCGGGTTGGACCCCGCGTGACACGCCGTGCTGGCTCCATGCTCAGGCACACTGAGCTGGCCACCAGGCCTGGGCTGCTGGTGCACCCTTGTCACCCCAGCACTGGGGACGCTAAGAACAGGAGGATCGCTAAAGTCCGAGCCGCATAGTGAGACCCTGTACCAAATACATAAATTTAAAAATCAATACATATACCAATAAACACTGTGTTGAGTTATCAGAAATATAATTTTATTCCATTTTAAATATATTTTCATAATTTTATTCCATTTTAAATACACTTTCTGAAATTATGAAAGTGAAACATGCTAAAAGCATACAAAAGGAAAAGTTTTTTTTTTTTGAACCAAGGATTGAACTCAGGCCCTTGCACTTGCCAGGCAAGCACTGATTCTACTGAGCTATCTCTCCAGCCCCTAGGAAATCTATTTTGATAGGACAAAAGTAAATCTGTTTTCACATTGTACATATTTAGGTTACCAACAATTTCATTCAGAAATAATTTTAAATTTGTATAAATCCACTATCATTTTTCTCATTTCATAAAATACATTCATATTTTTTACTGAGTTAATACATTCTTTACAAGAAAAAGAAATACTTCTTGGAGATGGTTTCACTTGCTCAAGAGCCAATGTTGAAGCTTGACTTTAGAACCTCAGAATGTGAGTATATTTGGCAATAAAGATTTTTATGAAGGAATTAAGTTATAGTCAAGTCCTTAAAAGGCATTCTCATCCAAATCTTTATTCCAAGTCAGTAGAAGTGGTGCACAACTCTGATCCAGCACTTGCTTGAGGCAAGGGATCATCACAAGCTCAAAACCAGCTATGAATACATAGAGAGATCCTGTATTAATATCACCCAATCTTCATTGCAAAATTTGAATCCTTATTTAGACAGAGCAAGATTGACATACAGTCACTGTGTCCTCATGTGCAAGATAAGGACCAGGTAAACAGGGTTTAAATATAATCATTTACAATACAAGTAAAGGCCTTAGGAAAAACCTGTCATCACCCTTTGGTCACATTTCTTACCCCAAAAATGTAAGAATATTAATTTTTGTTGCATAAACTATCTATTCTCAGGTGTTTCTGGCAACCACAGAAAAATCATACACATCCTTAAGAAATTTTGAGTTTCAGCATTCTTGAAAATAACCAAAATAATGTGAAAACTCTTTTATTTCCATCAAATATTCTATTATTCTATATTCCAAAATGATATATATTATCTAAGTAACTATTGTCTAAACTCAGTAAAAGTTAATTTAATTAAATTTGACTTATATACACTAAAACCTAACTGTATTTATTCTCTAATGTTTTCCTACATGTTAAATATAGTCATGAAATCTAGAACAAAATGCGTATTTACTTTTAAATTATTTTTGAATATAACATTCTGGAGCATGTAATGTTTTAGATACGACATAAGTAATTCTTACTGCTATGAAATTTGGCAAAGACAATTCTAAGTTTCCCTGTTACACATGTTTACATTTAACCTTTAAGGGATTGTCTCCCTTAGTAATTGTCCACTTATCTTTAGCTGGATGGTCAGTGGATTCATCTGGAGGTGATATCTTGAAGTTCGTATGATGAATCCAGGCGGACTTCCCAGCAACTTTGATTGCTTTGGGGGTGCTGAGTATCACAGTGTATGGCCCTTCCCACTGTGGTTCTAGTCCTTTTTGATCCAGACATTTGAGTAGCACTTGACTTCCTGGTTCCACAGCTTGTTGGCAGAGTCCGGGGGCCAGAGGGTCAGGACCAGGGTGTTGTTGTCTAAAAATCCGGTGGATGGAGGCAAGCACTGGCTGGAGGGCCTGGAGGGACTTAATAAGATCTTGGTTAGTAATCTCAGCAATCTTTTCTTCTGTCAAGTGAGGCAAAAGTGGAAGAGGCCTCCCAAACATCGCCTCGAAAGGGGAAATTCCAGAGACATGGGGGTGCCTCTGGCCCTTAGAAGGGCAAAATGAAGGAGACTCACCCAGTTCTCTCCAGTCTTCACAGAGAGTTTCGCCAAAGTGGACTTTAGAGTCTGATTCATCCTTTCTACTTGGCCTAAGCTCTGAGGCCTATAGGCACAGTGAAGCTTCCAATCAATGTGGAGAGCTTGGGCAAGTTTTTGAGTAACTTGGACTATGAAAGCCGGACCATTGTGGGACTCCATAGATAAGGGTAGGCCAAATCTGGGAATAACTTCTTGGATTAACGTTTTAACTACAATAAGAGCTGATTCTGAGCTGGTGGGGAAGGCTTCTACCCACCCAGTGAAAGTATCCACCATTACAAGTAAGTACTTGTATCCACTTTGTCCTGGCTTGTTTAATTCTGTAAAGTCAATTTCCCAATGTTCCCCTGGGGTGGTTCCCTGATAACGGAGGGTACTCACCAGCTTGTTGTGTTTTGGGTTTACCTTGAGGCATTGTTCACAGCGTAGGCTAGACAGATGTGCCAGTATGGTCAACTTTGGGATGAAAAATCATTACAGAATGGGCTAGCTAGCTTCAAGCCCCCAAGATGGGTAGCCTGATGGGCTTGTTGGATTAGTTCTCTGCCCAAAGCCTCTGGTATAAGGATTCTTTCATCAGGTAACTGATACCACTTGTCTGAGTCTCTTGGTTTAGCATTTAACTGGGCTGCCAGGTGAAGATCACTTGAAGTGTACACAGGGTCAGAGATGGTGGGAGGCATGAAGAGTAGGGTTTTGTTCTCTTCCGTCCCCACTGATTTTAAGGCAGCCTCTCGGGCTGTTTGATCCATGAGTCGATTTCCTTTAGTTATTGGGTCTGAGCCTGTGGTATGTGCTTTGCCATGCATAACAGATACCTTTAGTGGAAGCCAAATGGCAGCCAGTAGGTCTAGAATTTGGGCTGCATTTTTAATCTTTTGTCCAGTAGAAGTCAGTAGACCTCTTTCTTGATAAATCATCCCATGTACATGAACAGTGGCAAATGCTTATCTACTGTCTGTATAGATATTAATCTTTTTGTCTTGACCCAGATGTAATGCCTGGGTTAGGGCTATCAATTCAGCCTTTTGTGCAGAAGTACCAGAGGCCAATTGTTGAGACCATAACTCTTGATCTTGGGTGACCACAGCCGCCCCCGCCACCCGCTTACCTTCATGAATGTAATTACTTCCATCTGTGAAGAGGACCAGTTCAGCTTCAGGCAAGGGGATGTCAGCCAGGTCTTCTCGAAGCCCCGTGATTTTTTCGATGGTGGAGAGGCAGTCGTGGAGTAGCAGGGTGGGGTCATCATCCGGCAGAAGAGTTGCCGGATTTAGAGTGGAAGCTTCTTTAAATTGGACTAAGGCAGGGTCCAACAGAAGCGCTTGGTAGTGGATGATATGAGCATTGGTCATCCATTTATCAGGAGGTGTTTTTATTAAGGTCTCTAGTGCATGAGGCGAGACCACCCTAATGAGCTGTCCAAAAGTTAACTTTTTCCATCCTGTACTAGCAGGGCCACAGCAGCAATCATTCAAAGGCCTTCAGGCCATCCAGAAGCCACGAGGTCCAGTCTCTTGGACAAATAGGTGATGGGCCAATCCCCAGGGCCTAATTTCTGGGTGAGGACCCCTTTGCAATGCCCCTCTTTTCATCTACAAACAGGGTAAATGGCTTTTGTAGGTCCAGCAATGCTAAGGCAGGTGCCTCAATCAGAGCATTTTTAAGGTTAGTAAAGGCAGTGTCTTGTTTTGGTCCCCACTCAAGGGGGTCTTGAGTAGTTCCAGCCAAACTCTCATATAAGGGTTGTGCTAGTTCTCTAAAATGAATGATCCAAAGGCGGCGATATCCCACAGCCCCTAAAAATCCTCTCCCCTGCCGCTTGTTGGCAGGGGTGGGAATCTGCAGAATAGCACGAACTCGAGATGGTGAGAGGGTGCGCTTTCCCTCATGAATCTGATAACCTAAGTAAGTAACCTGTTTACGGCACAGTTGGGCCTTTTTGGCTGAAACCCGGTATCCAAGATCTGAGAGCTTTTAGTAAGGCTTGGGTGCCCGAGACACAGGACTCACATTTCTCCGTAGCCAACAGAAGGTCAGCAACGTATTGGAGCAACGTCAGTCCTGGATGATCCTCCCGAAAGGGCAGGAGGTTTCGGGACAAAGCCTCATCAAAGAGTGTGGGGGCATTTTTGAAACCCTGGAGAAGTCGAGTGCAAGTCAGTTGTTCTGAGACTCCCAAAAAGGGGTCTGTCCATTCAAAGGCAAATAACACCAAGGGAGCTTGATTTTTGGCCAACCCAGGGGGGTTATATTCTGCCCATACTTCTGGGATTTGTTGAGTCCAAATGTATAGCAATTCGTCTCTTTCTGTCAAATCAAATCTCTGGTTCTAAAACTTCTTGAAATAAGATGTGGCTTTCCCCTACCGGGAACTGGGCCATCACCTTAATGACTGGATTCTCAATAGTTACAGTAGGCATTTCAGTCTCAAAACTCAATTGTTTTTTTTTAAATTTTATTTATTTATTTATTTATTTAGTGTGTGTGTGGCCTGCTCAACCCACCAGGGGGCGGGACTGGCTGGCATGTGGTGCTGGGGATTGAACCGCGGTCCCTGTGCTTTGCTTAGCTTAGCTTGTTCTAAGTAGGTGCTTTAGACCACTGAGCCATCTCACCAGCCCCTCAAAACTCAATTGTGCTCTTAATTTATATAGGAGATCTCTACCCAGGAGTGGGTCAGGACAGTCGTGCGCCCAAAGAAAGGTGTGGCTCATTAGGGGCTGTCAAGGCTGCCCCAGTGATGATACCCTAAGCTGTTTTACTCTTTTAGTTTGTCCGGTGGCCCCTATGACCTTTATTGAAGTTCCTGTGGGAGTTCCAATAGGCTGAGTCAAAACGGAGTGAGTTGCTCCGGAGTCTACCAGAAAATCTATGGGTTGTCCCCCAATGGTTAAAGTTAGTCTGGGTTCAGGGGGGATTTGTGAGCCCTGACTTCTCTAATGTTGATTAAGGAGGGCTTTCACATCTTTTTCCAGTTTAGTCTTTAATTTAGGACAGTCCTTGGCCCAGTGTCCCTTTTCCTTACAATAAGCACATTGATCTTTTTCAAGAGGAGGTCGTTTTTCCCCTTTATTGGTTGGCCTGTTCCCGGTGGCCAGACATTCAAGAATCTTAGTAAGTCTCTTTTCGTTTATATCTTCCTTGTACTCACGGTGATCAAAAAACCTTCTGAGCTATCTCCATGAGCTGACTAAGGGGTGCTCCCTCAAAACCTTCTACTTTCTGTAATTTTACTTTTATATCAGGGGCCGACTGTGTCACGAACACAATATTTATGGCTCGTGCATTTTCAGGTGCCTCTGGATCTATTGGAGTATAGATACGGTAGGCTTCTAGTCTTTCCAAATAAGCAGCAGGGGACTCAGTAGCTAATTGTCTTACCTCTGATACCTTAGATAGGTTGGTGGGCTTCTGGGCTGCTACCTTAAGGGCTCCTAGAAGAAGCTGGCGATACCTGTCGAAAGCCTACTTACCTCTATCAGTATTTGGATCCCAGTCTGGGCGCCGCAAAGGGAAGATGGATTCTTGGAGGTCAGAATCAGGGGTGGGATTTCCGTCTGGCACATGACAGCCCGACAGGTTGCTCCGCGGATGTGGTCTCTTTCTTCTGCACTAAAAAGGGTCTGAAGGAGTTGTCGACAATCATCCCAGGTGGGGCGATGGGTGTAACAGATATGTTCCAACAGGCTAATGAGGCCTTGGGGGTCTTTGGAAAAGGGTGGGTTCTGATTTTTCCAGTTATATAAATCAGAAGTTGTAAAGGGGACATACATCATCAAGGGGGCTTGATCTGGCCCCAAAACGGTTTCACGGAGAGGGTATAAGGGAAGGGGGTGAGGAGAGGGAGTGGATGAATCCGGCGATGGGTGCCGGCATCTCCGGGTACAGCGTGGACTACGAGGCGCCGAGATAGCTTGGGGCTGGGAGGGAGGTGGAGGAGAAGGAGCCTGATGTGGGAGGAGAGGAGGTGAAGATGCTGGGGTCTCAGGAGGAGGGGAGGTCCTATAGGGAGGAGGAAGATCATCCTGAGGCGGGGATTCTAGGACTTGGGGCTTTTGGGGGGAATGAGAAGGTTTTAAGGGAGCAAGGACAGAGGGCTTCTGAAGCGACTTCCTGAGCCACGATGGGGGATCATAAATCAAATCAATCCAGACCTGAATGCAGATGACCTGGTCCGGGTGTCCAGACTTGTCTAAAATGACCCGTTGAACAGTCTGGGCCAAAGGGAGGTCAAAAGATCCCTCGGAGGGTCAGAGGCCCCCCAGTGAGATCGGCCATTCTAATTCACAGAGTGCGGAGTTTTCCTGGGTGAACTGAGGCTCCGTATCCCTTTGCTCCATCTTGGAAGGTGGAAGAATGATTCAGGATAAGAGACAAAGGGGAGGATGATGAAGTAGATTGTCCTAAACACGGGTGACAAGATCCATCAAAAACTGCGAACAAAAATGACAACGGATTATGACGTGGCGGCAGCTTGAGAGTCTGAAAATCTGTCAATCCAAAAGGTTACATTAAAAGAACAGAGAAAACATAGGCATACACACTGTTTATCCAAATTTTATAAGAAATATCTTAAAAGCCCGAACAAGATTATTTCAGCATTTTATAAT